AGTTTGTATATTTCGGCCTTTATCCAAAGGCCATCGACTTCATATTGAACTCATACATAAGGCTCAAGGGGATAGACTGTCCTTGTTCATTCAAGTTTTCAAACTATATGCCCAAAAGAATATATTGAGATACAATACTCTGAATGGTCGATGATTATCATGATCGCCGGCTCTATGACCACGTTTTTAAACATGCTTCTCCGCTATTTGTCGTTATCAATTTAATGTTTTCATTGTSATAATTTCTTGGACATAAGAGGTGGCGATAATAACAGAAATGTTATAGAGCAGAGTCACTTGAACCATGAAATAGAAACTAAATACTTAGTTACTAATAGGCACTATTTTAGACACTATCACTGAACCAGAACAGTACAAAGAGATTACTTTGATTGTTAAAGTGGTCTCTTGGGTATTGCTTATTGGATCAAATAAACTGTTCTGGTTCAGTGCTAACGACTATTAGGAACTAATAGTCCCTATTAGTTAGTACTTTTTAGTTCTTATTTCATGGTTCATGTGACTCTGCTCTATTAGCCACAACACTGACATAGATGTGACTCAAATACTTTTCGGTTTTAAGGCATTCTGGGGCGTGGCATCTGTACCATGGAATGTCACTAAAGCTGGATACAATGTAGTGACTGGCGCTATGTCTCATATGCCTGGAATATCTGTAAGTATGCCATGTACATCATATGCATGGGCGAGATCGAGAGTGGATTATCATTTATTCCTTAAAATGTAATTATAATTGTATGGAAATATTTATTTCGTAAAAATTCACTTTACATTTATTCTCTTTATAAGGGGATAACAGGAGGTCGTCAAAAAGTGAGAAGGTCCACACGTCGACGCGTCAAGACGAGGCCAGAGGATGTCCTATCTTTTCCCTCCGCGGCCTCTCCCGAAAAGAAACGAAAGCGTAGCAATGGAGATAGCGAATCGGACAGTGGTGAATTATTTGAGCTGATTTATGTGGAACATGCATATGAATCAGGCGATGACCCGGATTACTGTCCTGGATGTGATCCCACGGCTCAACGTAGCAGCGACAGCGAGTCGAGCGATACAGTTGAAGGTAGCGAGGAAGACGAGGAGGAGGGGGGCTCCGAGGATGAGGATTCCGGTGAAGGAGACGAAGCTGATACCAGCACTTATGGTGGCAAGTCGCTCACACCTGAAGAGTTAAATAAGTCCCCAAAAGACAACAAGGATAGCGCAGAGTCCAGTACAAAAGTCGTAARGCAAAACCCTCGTGAATTTKCACAACAGAAGAAGAAAGGAGCAGAGTCCACCGAGAAGAACACAGATGTATTCAATGTAAAATCAAACACAAGGAAAGTCACTGTTGGAAATCTTGAAAAGTCCAAATCCAATGAAGACAAAAGCCAAAGGAACAGCAAATCACCAAAGCACAAAAGCTTTGCAAATGTTATCGTAGGAAAGGAGAAAGCTGAAGTACAAGAAGATGTGGCTAAAGATAGCAACCRGTCAAAGTCTAGCACGCCAATGAAGAGCCCTCCAAAGCTATCGACAGCGGGTAAGATCCCAAAAGCCACCACCATGGGCAAAGCTAAAGCAAAATCACCAAACACGCAACAAAAAGAAGGGAACAAAGACGGAGGTTTGCGCGCAACAGCGGGCACTTATCATACAGTTGATAGCACTAAAGAAAGAATAATTTTSTAATAAATGTAGCATGAATGTTTACAATGCATACATTGATAAATGACGGTTATGAGTGATAATAACATTGCTTACCAAGGTATTGATAAAGTACACACTGGTCAGTATCATCAAGAATTATCAAAATAAACTCTGAATACAAATTCCATGTTGTGACGATACATGTATTCTATAAAACAAGACTCTTTGAGTTGGGAGGGGAGGGGAGGGGTATTCTTGTGCGCAAACAGTGAATGAAGGCTTCGTGATAAATCGAACATTGAGCACCCGACACACTAGCTCTTAGACTTTTACCCTCCTGGRAGTGTCTGTGCAGTGACGAATTCACGACTTCACAAAAAGGAGTGGCCAAGCCAACCAAATACGGGATTTAGGTTTGCGGCATGATATTTCTTTCAGGCGAACACTGCTTAATTAGTTTTTTAGAAAAGATATATTCTAATATATTTCTTTGATTTTCTGAATTAATAATGTATCATTTTCTGTAGTTAGAAAGAGGGGGGTGGCTGGCCGCCCTGATCATCGCTTACCCCACCCCAAAGGATCTGACACAGAGCTCTTATTCTGAGAATTATTTGATTCAAGCTGCAAACTGTTTTTAAAAAAATCAGTTACAAAAAAATATCTAAAGCTACTACTGTATTTTATATCTCGAAGTAAGATTTCTGGAATGTTTTGGTGAGCGAGTATTATTGAGTATCATTGGAGTATTATGTTGACCTTGAATGGCCTTGAGAAAATTTACTGCACTAGAAGATTTCTGATTTATTCATGGTTGGGGAATAATAAACCAACTAATTTCTGTTTCGAAGAATTGTATTTTAGTTGAATAGTATGAAAATATCGCATGTTAAAAATTTACGAAGAAACCAATTTGTCATAATTTTCCTCGAAGCAAAATTGGACTTTATATCAAAATGACGTAATGCATAAGTGTAAGTGTCGGATGTCACGGAAGAGTAATATATTACAAGACCAATGATTGGTTATTAAATGTTACGTCATATTYAMAYGCACTTTCGTAATTCCCTATTGGGTAATTTTCTGGTACAAAGTTCAGCAATCRAATAGCATAAAAACACAAATACAAATCGAATCGGTATCTTTCCTTCGAGGGATTTTTGTGTAATTGTTGAGTTACTCCGAAAAGARCAAGAYAAATTCTTACTACAATGGCTGCTGCCGATGTTCAAGTGCCCCAGCCTCAAGAAAATGGCTTAGAAGCTCCAGAAAAAAAATCTTTCACAAATCGTTTGTACGAGTTACCAGTCGTTGTGGCYGCCATCGAACAACTGGGTCAACTGTACGGAACGGTAAAAGAGAAAAATAGTGTAACTAAAATGGCCTGCAATGCCGGAGAAAGCACTCTCTCYGTRGCTGCTGCTGCCTCAAAGCCTTTGATCCAAACGGCTACAAATACGGCTTTGACACTCGCCAAGCCGGTAGTCGGCAAGATTGAAGATCCTGGTAAGCTAACTGAAACGATTTCGCTATTATAACTAATGTCAAAAACATTTTTATTACTAAAGTACTTGATATTTGTTGACTGCGTTGTTAGATTTGGGTGTGATCGGTTAGCAAAAACATGTTTTTCAATGGCAAAAGTTAAGTAAGCTTAAGTTTAACGAGTGAAACGTTCAGTCATGCACGCATCAAATTGCTARCTTTGCAAAATTTTGATATTCCTCAACATGTGTAACATTTTTATGCTGTTTTATTTCCTTTGAACTTTAATTGAAAATCGTTAATTTTTGTAATTTACGAGTTTCCATCAATCTATTTTTATGTGAATTGCGTTTGTTGGACTTTGATTCCGTGCAAGTTCAAAGTTCAGTTTTTAAAACATTACAATCGACTCGATACTGATCCTTCGCGTAGTTTTTGCATTTTTTATGTCGATTCTAATTGCTTTAAGAGATTGGGATTCAAATACACAAAGATCATTTTGCTGGCATGCACTAGTTTGGTAAAAATAGTACAGACATATACTTATCTGTCAAGTCAAAATCACCACTCATGCTTAATTCCTGGAATCATTTCCAAAAGAAATTTGAGTACCTACTTGCCAGCTTAAACAACTATCTTGCACGGACAAAAATCATCCATGATCCCTTTTCTCAAAAGTTAAATGTTGGCCTCTTGGTTGTGGTTTCACTGCACTAAAAGGGGTTTTCACTGGTTCAGTTTGACTTCATTTCGTTATGTTAGTATACCAGCAATTTTAATAGCACTCTCCAATTGTTTCTTGGATTTTGTATGATATTAAGGCATGCTTTCTCTTTTAACAGTTGCTATTATTGATGGCGTTGCCTCTGAAACACTTGCMAAAGTTGAAGAGAAGTTCCCTATCATCCATAAGACTCCATCTGAGGTGAGAAATAATAAAGTATAAATAGATGATTTGACTTAGTGAAGCAATATTTTCATTAAACAAATTTATCTTTGTTCTTACCTCTTGCTATTATAACAAMCACAGATTGCAGAGATCACCAAAACTGCAGTAACATCCCGTGTTTATGGATACTATGAGAATGTTCAGAACATGGGTGTCACCAAGATGGTTACAGAAAGAGCTAACGACTTGGTGTCCTTTACTGAACTTGTAGCAGAAATTGCCTTGCCAACCGATGGAAATTGTGATGAAGACATGAAAGAACTTGAGCTTGCTGACCAGGATCGTGAGCAGGGACTTGTTGTGAGGGCCAAACACTTGGGAAGCAGAGTGACTAGGCGGGGAACCAGGAAACTCCTGACTTACAAACCTTTGAAGATGACTGTTGATGCTGTGAGTRCAAGTATTAGGAATTTCATATTCTTGTTCCTGCATATGAGTTTGACTGTACATGTATGTTCAATCATATCAATATATTATTATTTCAATACAATTCTAGTATTGTAGYAATAAAAAGTATTTTGAAATCTTTCAGGTAAACTGTGCCAGCGAAAGACTTCAAGGAGCTGTTGAGAAGTCTTCTGATACTGGAAGAAAAGTCTATGAAGCTTACATGTACTTCCCAAACACCGCTGTTAAAATCTCAGGAGAAGTTATTGTATCAGCCAAAGAATTCATCTTCGCCTTCACCAACGTAAGTACAGATAAAAGAAACAAATTTCTCTAATATTTCATTATTATAATTTGCCTCTTTTCTAATGTTATTACGTTTTTGACTTAGGCTCATGACATCAAAGACCTTCCTGCTGCTCTTCTGAACATGACAAAGAAAGCCACTGAGCCTGTATCCAATGTCGCTGACCGTGCACTTGCATATGTCTTTGTCCCAAGTCAAGTCGTCACTGACTACGTCCTCTCGTCTCGACCAGTCCAGTGGATTGTCCCACAAGTTCTCTCCAACGAAGAAATCAGCAATCTAGAAATCAGCATGGAGGAGATTGAGGATGATGTTTCAGATGCTGAAAAGCCCCAATAAAACATAATATAATTATAATCATAAGAAGGACTTAATATTATTTTGTATAAGAAATATTGATAAGTAGATTTATACTAGCTTTTATCCATTATTTCATATACATTACATTCATTTCTAAAAACAAAAGAGCACTTTGGTTTGTCTAATTATCCTTAGAATTATTTTGCTTTGATGAACAGTAAATATGGCATTTACTAAGTTCCCATAATTTATACACGTGATTGACACAAGTTCTTGGAGGTTATGTTAAGGTGTGATTGATCTCTGATGCGTACTAATCAATACCGTAGTGTTATACTTTTTTTACATAGTTTTCTTATGAAGAAATTCTGCAAGTTATGCTTTAGCAGTTACAGATGTAGTTGTGCCTCTAAAACAATGAATAAAGTAAGCTTCAAGACAACATGTTTGTTTTTTTTGTCAAACAATGTTCTTTTTGCATGCTAGTAATATTTAGGCCTYGTCCGCACAAGTCCAGGATTTTTGTTTGTGCATACAGTAATCGATGTGTAGAGAATGTTTCGATATCGAGCACAAATGATGGAATATGCAGACAGAAGCTCGGGAGAATCTACGTAGCACTCATTGATGTAATATATTCATAAAGATATAATACAAAACACATAATACAATAGAACGAGAAACAATGGAATACAATACATTTTATGAATACATTACATCAACTGCGTGCTACGTAGGTCACCCCACACTGAAGCTCAATCTCGTACACAGYCCCCCTGTCCCTCTTACTGTGCAAGCTCAACAGAAAATGTTGGCCCCAAGTTCTTTGTCACTGACCAAATTTCTGCTGGCTCTGGGTACGAGATTGACTAAAGCTGTATCTGAATCAAAACAATTTGCCAATACAAAATCTCTGCCTTATAAGTCCTGTGGAGTAGTTATGGGAGGGGTCAAGGTCCCCTGTGTCCTTTTCTAATCAAGGTGATCTTATCTAATGCTTTCCTAAGGTCGACATCTGACCTCCACTCCAATACTGGTAGCAATCCCATTCTTAGGATGAACAGCAAACTAAAGTGAAACTCTTGAAAAAATATCTCATTGATAAAGTCACACAACTGGAACAGTGGATCATCTCCCTTTTTGTATCTTTCCAGTGATTGAACATCCTCAAATATTAAATGGCCGATCAAGTTGAAACCAAATCCAAGTGATAGGATAAGTAGACCTTGGAAAACCGTTGAACCATGTTGGACCAGTACAGCATGATAACCAAGTAGACAGTACAGCAGAGAGTATGCAAACTAGAAATCAAAAATTTAATCAAATTGGAGACAGGTTATTAAAGGTTCAGGATCACCCATGATGCTCTGCATGCCTCGTCACAATGTCATCTTATTCAGTGWGTGACACATTATTTTGACAGTAAAAATATATATATAAGCTATATATAAACTTGCTGGGCTTTCAGTGACACATTTACTGCTGTTCTAATCCAAAAGGCATAGTTCCTTGAGCTAATGTCTGCATCCCCTCTACAAGGAAAATCTCTGATTTTTTTTCCCAACATGGAGAGCATGCTTTGGGTTCAAAAATTAAAACATGGTCAACCAGCATCTCTTTTGAGCTTTTGTTTATGTTTGAATTCAAAAATACATTGTAACTACACTTTGTACTCTATGAATATTGTAGGATTTGATCATAAAAATGACAGATTGAAATGAATTGTTAATGGCTATTTGAAGTCACCTTGTTTTTCACATAAAAAATGTAAAACACAAACGCATTGAAATGCTGGTTGACCCTTTAATCCTTACCCCAGCTGGAGGCTCTTGGATGATACATATTAAAAGTTTAATAGTGATGAGCATTAACTCAAAGTAAAATGGAAGGCACTTGCTTCCCAGGAAAAGTACTGACCATGCTGCCATCCAGGAACCAATCACATGGCCTACAACATTCCTTTAAACATTTATGAATATACGAAAGATGAATAATTTGATACGAGAAGGAGAAATATATGTAGTCTGCTGGACAAAGTCTAAAGTTCAAGCTTAGTTAGGGAAAAAATAATCAATGACTTTTARATGTTAAAATAATGTGTATAAAAAATAATGAAATCAAAAATGTTCTTTTAATATTGACCAGCATTTGAAATGTATTGATCTGGGGGTAAGGGGAGGGGGGGAGAAAATTATCCTGAGTGGAGTGGAGTAGGGTTGGCTAAAAAAAAATTGGAAATATTTGCAAGAAAAAAGGATACTCGCATTTTAGAAGACATTTATTTTAGAAAAGTTGAGTGAACGCTCTTAATCCGTGGAATTGTACTGACCTCTTTGTAATATTTTTTTTGTAATATTGGTATATTTAAGCTTAAWAAGCAATGATGAGTGAAAGATGGTCAAATTCAATTAAAGATTTACCGCAAAATTGASCTATTTTGCTTTTGCACAATTCCGCGGATTAAATGCGTACAGTCTATCATTTTAGGTAAACGTTTTCACGTCTACAAGACAAAAAGGACATCCTGATTTTCTCGGGGTGATTGAGTACTTAAGTCAGTCACGCATTGCAGCACTCTTACCAGAATTTTTTGTGACCAATGCGCTTTGTTGCCAGCTGTTTTGAGCTATCAATGAAATAATCAAAACTGTATCCTAACGACCTGACCATGATGAGATAGAACCAATTATGCAAGCTGCAAAGTGGTCGAACTTCTAGAATGCGCTGRCTATCGACGTGTCTTTGTGTGATAAGTTCGAGGGGTTAGGGTTTCATTTCCGTCACGATTTCTTACTTTGACCTAATATATCAGTAGAATTACTGTACATGTGATTTTTCCAAAATGTGGTGTCACTTTAAATTTTTAATTTCAAATTTAATATTGTGGTGAGATGGCTTAACAAAATTGTGACGCCATTCTTCCTGCAATAACAAAACAAGATAAAAGAAGCTTCTAAAGATTGAAAAGGAAATATATGCATGAAATATATGTATATATTTTATTATATAAATGCAGTGTTTGGATTTTTGTTGTCCTCTTCTTCGTGATTTAGCCCCCAGCTGATATTTTCCCGCGAAAATCATATTTCCGGTCCTGTTTGACAACTCGGCTCAGGCTTTCGCAGACTCTTTGTTGAGACGCCTTGCAGAAAAGTGTTTGATCTTATCTCTAAAATCGCGACTTGTTTTCGCATCTTTTAACGGCGAATTTCGCTTCATTTCTCTACCAAAAACGTTCCTTTGGTAAGTATAACTGTTGAAATATTAATCCTCATCCGACGGAGTTTAGATCGTGGTATTTTTGTGTGAGAAAATATACATATTTCGAGACGTATTTTCRACTCGCGCGGCCATACTGACTTCTTTTGAAGGCCGATATGTCTACTAGCAAAATRTATGGCGTTCTTTCCTGTTTCGATGCATTTGATAATCTTTCAAATATCGTTTAAGAAGGCATTAACATACATTTATAAATGACTTTATAAACTCAGGCATACAGTGGGTTGTACAATTAAAAAAAAATCAGTACTTGTCAATTTTTGACGACAAACAAAGGATTATGCTTAAGGATCTTACTGCGGCTGTAAAGATTGTCTTTTACATGTTTGGTTTTATTTACATTTTTTTCAGTTCACTCCTTTGTGATATGCTTTTGGTAATTGATATAATTAGCCTAGAAGACGTATTGGTTCATGAGAGATACTTTTAATTAAAATTCAGATCGTTACATGGCTTTTAAATATTGGAGATCTCTCAATTTTCACCMTATATTTAATCTATCTGGGAAAACTGTAATTTTTTCATGCAAAATATAACAATTATATTCCAGAAGAAAAGAAAAGGAAGTTAAATAAGCGATTTTTTCTAGTAATTAACTCTCTTTTGTTCACTAATTTTGCAAAACAGATGTTGACATGGATGCTGCAAATATGTTTGAGAAGCCTTCTCTTGAAAGACAAGAAACAGTTAACATTACCATACCAACTGGAATACTCAGTGAAGTCAACACCTTTTCTCATGGTGAAACTGCCAGTCCTGATGATGATAATGATGAAAGCAATGATGCTGATTACAAACACGATGATATGATTCAGGGATCATGCTTTTTGGATTCAGCAAGTAGCRCTGAATTACAKTCCAACAAGAAAATAAACCCAGATGAACAGGCAAACATCATTGATAAAGATACAACTAAGTCTAATGCTGAAAGTTTGTTGACATTCAACTCTTTTAACATACAAAACGACTCCCAAAAAGAAAGGCAAAGATCGGAAGACTGCACAATGAAGATGGAAGTCTCAACATCTCAAATASATTCATCTGATAACAACCAAAAATTTYCCAATTTAGAGACAAGCTCTGCTCTTCCAAACAGAAATATTAAAGTTCCAACTTACACAATCAACAACACAAGAATTGTATTGGTTCCTGATCTATACAGTGTTGTCCGAGAAGCMTGCGGTACGTGCTCCCCCCTGCGTGGAATTGTCAACCGGCTRAGTATAATCCCAAGACGTTTTGACCCGTTCCAAATGCTACGCCTGAAGCACGTCGGAGCCGTGAACCTCGAGGTAAAATGCTGTTCCTACATTCTTCTACAAGAATTCTTTCAAGTCGTTTCACGATACAAAAATAAGATTATAACTCCAGACATGCTAAATGTCCTRCCYGCGATAGACATATCGTCTTCGACTGAACCAGTTGACAAATCTCCTGCTCAACCGAGATTGARTCAAAAGGTCTTGWCATCTCATTGTGACGCTATTCACACGTTCATCGTGAARGAAGAAGTTGTTGTATGCGCAGTTGAACTTCAACAAGTGTTCGAGTCGGTGTTTGGCAGCGTTTTATCGATGTCTTTAGCTAAATTAGGTATTCGCCAAAGTAAATTYACACCACTACAACTGGACGAAGTCATGGATTTTGTGGACGTTGACGAGTCTAACATGGCAGCYGCGGGTTTCTATATGACAAAGAAAGACGCTGAAAGARTTTTTCAGTACACAGAAGCTCTTTTCAACGTTGACCAACTTGATATAAAATGGCTGGATCCCTTAAGACTCTCTGATGGCCAAGCCAGTCAGAGAGAACAAGAAAGACATCAGCTCGTGCAAGAAAGAATGAAGGAAGAAAATCCTCGTGCCACCGCCTCTCAGTCATTGTTGTCAGTATCTTCTTCAGAAACCAGCGAAACATCCAAATCAGATCTTGAACCAARATCTTGTTTCAGAAAGGAGGAATTTCATTTGGGAAACGAGGCAGATGAGGTAGACCACGGTATTGAGAAGGAAATCARATTAGTCCGCAATGAACTTTGTTCAAATGTTAGCAGCACCTCGGACAGCGTTCCTGGAAAAGGCTCCCTGGTCAGTGAGGTAACGTCAGAGCARGGACCTTCCAAAGGACAGCCTCCGGAGCTGAAGCCTACAGTACAACTACAACCAGGTAAGAACCAGATCCTGGAGTCTGAAGAACGAAAACAAAGTAATCAGTCTTCGCAATATGATGGAGAACCCMMAAAAGAGCCTTCTGTTGATTACTTCGATGGTGGAGAAACCCAACACTCTCTTGATTTGACGMCTTTGGAAGATCACGAAACCGATGTTTTGTCGYCAGCCGGAAGCGATGGATCCATGTTCTCGGACACTGAATCGTGCTCTTCGATTTGCACCTACTTGATCGATGGCGATGAAGTTGTTTGTATTCCAGATATCCATAAAATCGTCATCCATTTATACGGCCAGAGCGTCCAAGTAGGTTATTATCTTCAGAGACTACAAATCCCCACCCAGAGATTCTCGACTATCCACGTTAAAAGACTCAAAGCCTTGCACGCATTGAACTCTAAGGCTACACTTTGTACTTATATAYTCAAGTCAGATGCTTTACGGCTGTTCAAGATGTATGATGTGTTTTGCACTGATAGTAAGCTGCAGAACATACAGTGGAATGGCCCTGTTTCTCTTGAAGGTATGCATTTGGTAATCTCGTACCCAATGACTTTTCTAGCTGTTCTAAGCGGCGCGCAGTGCATAATGGGAAAGACAATGTTTACGGGGTTGCTTCGTAATTGCAACGTATTCTAAAAAAACTCGCTAGTCTTTGGACTAAATTAAGAACATAACCAGAATGATTATATAGTTATTCTYAGTTTTTGAAAAAATATTGCGGGCCCTTTTATTTCCTTTCATACCCTATCCTAACGCTGCTGAGATATTCCACATTCTTACTTTTTCAGCTCTTCATACTTCTCAATTACCAAATGATGAAGTCATGACAACATCACAAGATAATCTCATTTCGCAACAAGAGCCCATCGAAGTAGTGAAAATTCCCACTTTTCTGATTGACGGAGAGATTGTGGTGTCTGTTCCTGATGCCCACAAGGTTGTACAAGTATTGAATGGGCAAAGTGTTCAAGTTCGCTACAATATGGATAAATTAGGGATCGTAAAGCGGCGATATTCGTACTCACAGGTGTATCAGCTGCGCGCCATCAGCGACCTGAAGCGTCCAAGTATGTGCACATTTATCACCAAAAACGACGCTGATAAACTACTAGATCATTATCTCACAGCCGAGAATGCTTCTCGCTTGAAGTACATCCATTGGATGCCCCCAGTGCAGTTGGAAGAACGGAAGTCAACAAGCGCCCTTCTTCTTGAAATTAAAAATCTAGAAGATGATGGAAAACAACAGTCTGAAACRAGCTGCCTCGTCGGAAATAGCCAATCACAGATGGTTAGCTCTGGAGAAGTTACATTCAGCAGCTTTTCAGGACCATCAAATAGCAGTGATGAACTGAATCATCATTCACACGAGGACCGAGTCAAAGATTTTAGTGGAYCGGTAACTAGTGTCCAATCCCGTTGCACCATTACCATGGTATCGTCGAGTAATGAAAKCCCCTGTGWTGTTRCCATGGCTGAGAACAACGGTGTTCCTTGTGGACCTTCYATGACGTCGAGTAGTCGAATCCCCTGTAGCGTTGCCATGGAGACGTCTAGCGATAAAGGAAGAACATCGGGGAGCTTCGAACGCTGTAAGTAAGAATTTCTTTATTTTTTCAAGTTATTCACATCTATCTAGTATTTTATTCTTTCAGTGCTTTATTTCTTATTTATGAATAAATAATTTCGACACTCGTTTATGGAATTGAAATATTTATAATAATCTGAATGTTCATTCATTGTTACATTCATGAGAAACGCTTCTGAAGATAAGAAATTATCGAGTGTGGTCATGTGCTCTACAGAAGCAACCTTGGGTTTATGTGTTGTGTACCATTAAATCATCAGATCCTTATAAGTGATTTTTCCGTCTTCTGTAAACTCTGCAACTATCAGACAAACTGTCGGTCTCAATTCGCTTTAAGACCGAATAACTGAGTCGAATAGGAGAGGAAACTATGACTTATAGAATCTGCGATTTGCAAGCGCACTCGGCTACTCCCCGATAGATTCAATCAACTTGTTAGATTGCGTTACTTTTATTGCGTAGTGTGTCACGCTACTGTAACTCGTTGCCTGTCCATCGGTATCACTTCTGTTTGAGTATTGCGTGACACCTCGACGTCTTCAACAGACATGTTTGGGTCACACTTAATGTATTGCGTYACTTCCATCGCAGAATTAATCACGGAAGCTAACACAGCAAGTCCAAATATCATGTAAACTAAAGAAAACGTCTTAAGAAGGATTTGCATTATTTCACTGATATTGTGAATCTTTCCATCTTGGTGTACAACGTAGTCTCCAAAACCAATAGTTGAAAACGATATGAAAAGAAAATAAAGAGCTTCGAAGTATGACCAGGATGTCRCACGCACCACAAWAAATGCTCCTAAAGCGAATGTCAATACCATGGCCGCAAGAGTACACAAAAAGCATTTTAATCTGACGTTTTTAACCGACGATCGTTTTAGAAACTTTCCTTCGATCCACCGTATTAAATTTTGAAAACCTTCTTTCATTGTTGAGCCCACGAGATTCAGTGTAAGCAAGGTCAGCGGTATTCCCAAAAAGCCACCCAAAATGCATAGTAGCCTTCCATTGGTTGTTGTTGGCGTGAGCATCCCATAACCTAAAGAATAGACCATAATAATCTTAATATTATATAAATACTATATAAAACACTTTCAAAATATTAAGAAGTATAAAACGACTCGCGTGTCTCTATCCTCTGATATAAACACGGTGGGAGTTCGAAAAACACGAGAAGCAAGCTTAGGAACACGAGCGTAGCCAGTGTTTCTCTTTGTTCTCGAGTGTTTTTCAACTCCCACCGTGTTTATATCAGAGGACAGAGACACAAGCGGCCGTCATATATTTCTTTTTTAAAATTTTTCGAGCGAAAAGCAAATTTTGCCGGTAAGCCGCGTGTCGGCTCTGTCCTCTAATATAAACACGGTCGTCAGCCAATCAAAGCGCGCGTTATATATCAAAAATTTTATAAATAGTATATATAGAACTATAGTTACCTATGGTTGTGCAGACAGATATGGCAAAATGTGTACCATCGCTAAAATTCCATAAACGCCGCTTTCCTGGACTTTGAACTTTGTATGCGACTTTTGTGACGTTCAAAAACTCATCTTTTGTCAAGTTGTACTTTGCGTTTAGCATTTCCCACATTCCTTGAAGCTCTTTTGGCAACTCGGTTTGATCTTCTTGTTCATCATTGTCACCATTCTCGACCGCGACCATTATCGCGCCAAACGCAACGATATATGCATACAAAGCCAGAAACTTTAGTAGAACTATTSTTACTGCCATTTCTGAATAAAGAATCATTTAAGTTAATAAAAGTAATACGCAATGATAAGATGTTTAGAATCGTCGCATTAATTTTCTTTATGTATTCTTTCCTTAGAGCTAAAACRTACTGATTGTTGTACTATTTTTGTGTTAAAACTCCCTTAATGGCTGTAATTTATTTTTGGATGTGAATCATTTATCAAATAGTATTATAACTATCGCACCTTTGTCATTGGTAAAACAATCATAGAAAATTGCAGTTCGATTATTTATAATTTCTATATCGTATCCGGCGTAATATTGCCAATTTCCATCCCAATTGTACTGGTTAAAGTCTAATTTATGAAAATGAAATGAAATGAAAATTCCCTTTTTCCATACTTGTTTCACTGAAGAAWTGAAATGCAACATGTTTGCTTGGCAAAGTGTTTGTAGACGAACGTTCGAAGTAGTTTTTGATGAATGTCAAGCTATAGAAACCTTGACAAAAGATTTTCAAAGTCAACATCGTTGTTCTGTTTTCTTTTCAACTTTTTTTTCACCAGGAAATTAACCGCGTCGACCAGTCTTCGATTTAGCATAACAATAATTTGTGTATACAGTGACACAAAGACACTGATGTTTATCACTTTATGCTCAGCCTAGTGTCTCTATTATCGCCCCGCGAATCGCCGCTTTACGGGTTTTGCCATTGTTGTTGAAACCCATGAGGAAACTTATTATATGGACACAAGGCCTTAGGTGTTATAGCTGCATACAGAGTATCCAAAATAATTTTGTTAGAAATTAGCCAATCAAGACCGAGCATTACATGAAGAAGTATCTGAAACTGACTGATTCTTGGGAAAGTAAATCGAGCCAACGACCGCGTTGCATGACGGAAGGTGATGGTTTTTCAAATTAAAAAAAAAATTACGATTCACAGTTTTTTTTAGTTTTCATAAACTAATTTCGAGATCAAATCGTGGTTAATTAGTGTCAATAAAAATAAACTGCTATTTTTCACAGCTAAATCTTGACCCTAATGCTGCCGGAGAACTGCTGGAACTGGCTAAATYTTGCGGCCTRTTGTTAACAATCTTAATACTCTAATTCAGCTAACGGCACACTCAGTTTAATGGAACTTAATGATATAGTTCGATCATCATAGCCTTGGGGTTCTCGTAGCTCATTGATTCATTACACTCAAACTAGTAGAATACATATGTAAACTTTGGTTTTGACGTAGCTTTACTTGTTATCTGCTATTATCTGTTATTAAGGCTGATTTACACGGTACGATTTGTCGCGCGCGACTTGTAGTATACGATTTTCCTACTACAAGTCGTAGGATTTTAAGCAGCGGTTCAAAATCCTACTACAAGTCGTAGGTTGCGTACGACTGTTGTAGACAAGTCGTAGGGGCATTTACACGGCGCGATTCAAGTCGTATACTACAAATCGCACGAGACAATCGTGCCGTGTAAATCAGCCTTTAGTGCAACGAGAAAAAGAAAAACGTTTGTAGTTGAGTCACGCTAAAGTTAGATGAGTYTTAACTGACCTTGTATTGCACCCAGCTAACGGCTTTGTGGCGTATCGTTTTCGTTTATTCTCGTCTTTTTGAAACGTCAACRGCGAATATCGAGAATGAATGAAACGGCTTAAGTTGGACATTAAAACTGAAAACTTTCATCTTTCGCCTTCGCTAGTCAGACCAAATTTACCGCTAAATCGCCGTGCAAATCATAACAAAGTTTGAACCACAATCTTTAATTAGCTCACGATGAACGAGGGATTTAATTCATTACAACGAGCTTATAATAGGCTTGAGCATATATAGAAAGAAATAAAGTACCGACTTCTGTAAACATGATGTACTATGTGTAATACTATAGCATGATCTTACCTTTTTGATGTCCGTTTTGAGTATTCTTTTCCCATTTACGAACTGCAATTCTCACGACGACAGCCTGCTAAAGGAAAAACTTCACAGCAGTCTATGATAAATAGCCACGTCCTGTCTTCCTCAGTGTCTTCCTATTTCTACATCGGTGTTAATTTTTAATTAACTTTTGAAATTTTAAATACTTCAATTAGTTTCAATGGATATTTAAAGATTTGCTCATATGTTGTTGAAATTCTGATTAAACCAGTTCAAGCATCTTCCCAAGGATTTCCGAGAGTCCTGATTGCATATATTGTTTGTTTTGAGTACCTTTGACAATTCTTTTAATTTTCAATTCAAATTGTGAAAACTTTGCATGTTATTTTTTTAATTTATGCTTTTGCAGATAATTTGAAGTGGGACCGCCAGGTGTCTCGTTGAAAAACAAATTCATTAAGCACTACAGGAACCTTACTTCATCTCCGAATATTCAACAAAATTGCGCTTCAAAAGAAAAACTAATATAGAAAGACACATTATGCAGATGAATGTGTTTGATGTACGCTTTATTCCAAGACAATATGCTAGCGACTTTCTGTTAATTGAAAACCCACTACSATTCATCCATCCAATTACTAATAACAACTAAAGCTAACGCCTGGGAGAAGTAATTGTCGTTTCCCTGGTAACAAACAGAGATAAGAAGAGAAAGTAAAATCAYCTTAAATGTCTTATTTGAATCGGAAGTCATTTCATCTGTAAGAGTACAAATGTAAACAAYAGATACTCATCTTTTTATGAAAAGAAATGTTTGAAGAACAGGACAATGAAGACAGATTATAGCAGAAATTAATATCATAATATGGYTGACAAATTTGGCGGCCATATYTTTTATACGCGCATGCGTGATTGGGAWTTTACTATTCCATTAGACAACTGCRTTGCATAAGAATCGGGCTAGAWTGCACTACCGACTTTGTATAGAAATATTATCAAAACAATATTGCAGACAAAATGGACATTAAAATTCGTTTTAATGTCAAAGACCGAATTCCACCWTGAATTTCGCCTTGAATTTCACGAGGAAAACAATATCGCATAAATCGTGARAGATTTTTTATTATAAGATATAGGAATTATATCTTAACAATTTTTTTTAATTGAAAAGCAATCTTTACTCAAACTTTTATGTCATTTTGTATTTAGACCTAAGGCTTTTTGCTCAAAACTGATTKATAAATAATTAAAAATAATTGCAACTAAACGAGTGTTTTTTCAAAAGTATTATCCAAAAATTTGCATAGTCGGAGAAAAAGTCACCAAAAGACAAAAAATCGTTAATTTTATCTGATGTGAAAGGAAATTAATCACAGGAACYTTCACTTTAAGGTGCTGTTATATTTATTCTGTGGATCTAAAACAGCCATTGTCTGATTATGGTCAAAAGTATAGCTTAGTAATCTCCTAGCTTCACTGAATAATTAATACTCGAGTTCTTTAAACGATACTTAATGACTTTAAATTAACATTTTGTCCTGAAATAGAGCTCATTTCCAAAAAATGTTGTTGGACAAAATTTTAATTGGCAATGGACTTTGTCGACTATATGGACGTTATATTAATTGTGAGCAAATATATAAACTGAAACTTTTTTTCCTGTAATGGTGTTAATTATAATTCAATAAAGAAGAAAAATTGCTAAGAGATTAAACAAGAAGAAATAATCTTGAAACAAATACCAATGAGAACTGTAAAGAATTATCAATTATCTTGCTCCTAGGGGTGATTATCAATTATCTTGCTCCTAGGGGTGATTATCAATTATCTTGCTCCTAGGGGTGATTATCAATTATCTTGCTCCTAGAGGTAACGTAAAATAAAAATGTCGGATTATAACGAGAGCTTCCATGAATATCTTATTAATTCATCTCCTAAAAAAATTGGTTTGTG